GGATAACCCCCTTTTTTTCCCCAATAAACAGTAAAAACTACATGCACTCTTATGAAATACAGTAATAGCTTTCCCTTTCTCTTGTCTACAGCATACCAAGACCATCTCAATTATTTGATTAACGAAATTCAAGATGAAAACAGTGAAAATACTAAACTGAGTGAGTCATCATGTCATCGGAAATGTCTGCTGTGGTCTTGAATCCAGTCAGTTTGTCTAATTCAGAAATTCTTTTGTTAGTGTTTCAATTCATGGCGCAACGAGACGAAATAGCCAGACTCAAGAAGCAAGAAGAGAGTCAGCTACAGGCACAAGTAGAAAAGATTAAAGGTGAGATTCTGTAGGCAATAGCCAAATGTATTAATTATATATTTACATATATTTTAGGGACGTGAAATATTCTTTTTCTGTCTTTTTTTTTTTTTGGAAGATCTGGAAGATAAGTTGGAGGACATCAGAAATCAGATAAAAGAAAAGACGCACATGTTGGATTCAAGTGATATGAGGATTTCTAATCAGTGTAAGTATTTTCGCTCCACTTTGGTCACAGAAAAAATAACTAAACTATCAAATGGAATCAGATTACTAAAAGCAGCTGGCTTTGTCTGTCTTTTAGCGGCTCAGATTATGGAGCTTCACGGGAAAATCGAACCACTGGAGGATAAAATATCAAGCCTCAAAAAGAACCACGCTGAAGACCTTGCTGGTACAGAATAACACATAAAAGTTCAGCTGAATGAAGTAATGCAAATACCGGATTTAGATTCAATGGTTATGAACTTCATTGATCTGTAAATCATTTTCAGAGCTTCAAGAGAGACTGAATTTTACAAGCAGGCAACTGCAAGTCAGTGAAGTTCAACTCCAGCAGGCAGACACAAAGAATTTTAACTTAAGTATGACCACATTTTGTCTGCGAACATTTCGAGTTATGCTTTTTATTTTTAGAGGAACAAAATAACACTCCAGCTTTGTGTGTGTCTGCTAGTAACGGAGATCGCTGATCTGAGGGGACAGCTGAAGAAGGCCAAGAAAAAGGCATCTGAAGTCTCTGGGAAAAACATTAACGGTTTGTCAATCTGTTGCTTCGCTTCATCCAACAACTCTTCATCATATGTGCTAAAGGTTTTACGAAATTGGTTGGGTTTTTTTTGTTTGTTTGTTTTCTGTCTCAGACCTGGAACAACAACTAAGAACACAACAAAGAGAGAATACAAAGCTTGAACGCGCAAATAAAGGTGTGTATTGTACATTGCAATGTCTTAAAGGCGTAGTTTGACAGCTAGACACTAGGGCTGGTCCGAATAGAAATTTCTGGTCTCTGGATATTCGGCCCAATTACTCCCCAAGATTTGGGTTGGGGGTTGGGGTTGGTGGGTGTGCATACGCTCCGACGGGCTGGAAGTGGGCGGGATGCACAGGCAGCATTTGGCTACTAAGACTAGTTTGGGGGGTTTGGGGGGCAATCAAAATTGCCATCCCAATACCAGCACAGCAACCGAATATTCGGCTATTCGGGTCCAGCCCTACTAGACACACACATTTCTTTGTGTTCTGCAAAGAGTTGGATGCAAAGACCAATACAGCTATCATATCTATTCGATTTAAGGTTACACAAAACTGAAGATAAGGGGAAAACAGCTAGCCTGGCTCTGTTCAAAGATAGCAAAATCTGTAGTGTTTTTTTTGGCTGTTTGATTTTGAGCAGAAATATTCCAGCACATAAGTCCCAGTAACGTGTTAATAATAATAATAATAATATAGTTTTCATTATAAAAACAATCTATTTGACATTTTTCTTCATATGACAAAGTGCTTCATGTAAATAAAAATAGGCAAATAAACGAAAAGGCTGAGAAACATACACACAGAGGAAGTTCAATGAATAGATATAAAGTGTAAGCATAAATAAAAACATTTATTTAAAAAAAAAAAAAAAAAAAAAAAAGGTTTTAAGGAGAGATTTAGAAGAAGCTAGAGACTTAGGGGGAGTTCAGCAGGCTCCGGTCCTCCACCAGGTCGGTGAATCAGAGATGAATTAAAGAGTAATTTGTGTAAATAAGATATAACGTGTTCGTTTATAAGCTTTAGAGGCACTGGGAGGTAGATGTTGTTACCTTCAGACAGAGCCAGGTCAGCTGTTTCTGTATACGAAGCTGAACAGAAATGAGAATGATTGCCATCTTTGCATCAGATGTTTAACAGGAAATCACTAAATATCACAGCTATTCTTTAAATGCTCACAGCTACTGTTTTAATGTTTTGACTGTCTTCCTCTGTCAGACTTAACACAAGACATCCAACAGCTGAGAAAGTGCTGCAGTGATGTCAAGCCCCTGTGTGACGGTGAGATCCTCAACATCTCTGATTATCATTTTAAACAAATACCTGTCCTTAAGTTCCACCGGGTCATTTGATTTCGTTTTTTTTTTTTTTTTTTAAACGAAATATTTGATTAAACAGACTTAGAAAGACAACTGCAGCAGAGCCAGGAGGATGCAGATCGCCTGCAGAAGCAGCTGCACGACAAAGACGCCACGCTCAAACAACTGGACCAGGAGTTACAAGAACGGACGAAGGAGAATAATCAGCTGCAGCACGAAAAAAGCAGTAGGTTTAACAACTGCTCGTACACAATAATGTACATTTTGTCCTTTGAGATCCAGTGTGGCATTTGATGTGGGGTTTTTTTTAACTGTAAATTTAATCTGACAGATCTGATGTTACAACTGCAACAGAGAGAGGACGACGCTCAGCACCAACAGCAGCAGCTGCATGAGAGCGACGCCAGGCTCAGACAGCTGGAGCATAACTTAGATGAACAGACCAATGAGAATAAAAAACTGCTGGAAGACTACAACAGTACGTTCATCTCCCTGATAGATGTATTCAGTGTGAGAGAAGACATGATTCTTGATGAAACATAAATCGTACTTTTTTTTTTTGTCTCAATGTTAGACCTGCAAAACGAGAAGAACAAACTTGAGAACGATTTAGAAGGTAGTTATTACTGTAGTTCAGCAACATACAGACTTTGATGTTACCAAAGCTCCCCTCAAACATGTGCTGTTCTTACTTTTTCCTCAGAACTTCAAAAGCAACAGGAAGATGTGGAAGATCAAACGATCTATGCCAGTAAGTCTCACACAAGAGTTTATTTAATTTCTTGGATTTTTTTCAGTCTGTAGATTCCTTGATATTTTCATTTAAAACCTACACAGTCAGGCAGGCGCGCCGCTATAGGTTGAGCTGGCGTCCCATGTACAGGGCTACAGTCCTGATGTGGAGGTCATGAGTTCGACTCACGCTCATGGCCCTTTCCCACATGTCCTTTAAAAAAAAAACCTACACAGTCAGTTTTTTGAGTATTTGTTGTCATCATTATTGTCATGAAAAGTAAACAAGCCCACACACTTTGATTGCAACAGGCTTCTTACTTGATGAAAAAGTATAGTTGACTTTAAAGGGATCATTATTATAATCATACACAGAGAGGTTTGTTTAGTCATCACAGTTAGTTGTCCTGCTCAGCCTGTGAAAAAACTTGTTCTGTGTTTTTGTCCATCCATCCATCCATCCATCCATCATCCTTAAGCCTCACTAGGGTCATGGGGGGCTGGAGTCTATCCCAGCTGACTTAGGGTGAAGGCAGGGGACACCCTGGACAGGTCACCAGTCTATCACAGGGCTACACTTAGAGACAGACAACCAAGCACACTCACATTCACACCTACGGACAATTTAGAATCACCAATTAACCTCAACATGATTTTGGACCTTGTGGGAGGAAGCCGGAGAACCCGGAGAGAACCCACGCTGCACGAAGAGAACATGCAAATTCCACACAGAAAGATCCTGGGTGTCCTCACCGGGACACGAACTGGCGACCTTCTAGCTGTGAGGCGACGGAGCTAACCACCGAGCCACCTTGCAGCCTTGTTTTTGTCCAAACCTGGAAAAACTGGGCCTGCTGTCAGCAGAGTTGTCTCATTTTTTAAAAGACTTTATAAACTAAACAGGGACAGTCTCCTTAGGGGCATTGTGATATTTATTCATTTATTTTCCTGTAGATCTTTACTGTGAAATATTTAGACCACTGTAATCATGTAGGGACAATCTGATAATGTGACAGGCCAGTTGCATTATGGGAAATGCAGAATCCAGAGTTTTGGAGATGGACTCATGCTAGTGACTCAAAGTCAGGCCTCAACTGTTCCGTTTCATGTCTATAACTTTCACTTGTGATTCATCCATTTTCACATCAGTAACATGCTTTTAACTTTGTCATTTTCATTTCAGGAATATGACGTAATCAGAATTTCCATTTCTTTGTTCACAGCAAAGACGACCTTTGATCCAGACACAGCGAACTCAAGAGTAGTACTGTCTGCAGACAACACCGAGATGTCCACCACTGATTCCACACAAAATGTCCCCGACCATCTGGGCCGTTTTGACGTGATTCTTGCTGCCCTGGGTGCGACTGGTTACTCGAGTGGCCGACATTACTGGGAGGTGTCTGTAGCTGGGAAGAGTTGTTTCCACATTGGGATGGCCAGCGAATCTGCTCCAAGAAGGGGATCGTTTACATTCAATCCGACAAGGGGTTTTTGGACTATAGTCCTGAACAAACAGGGTCAGTACAGAGCTTTAGATAGGAGGTCTGTTCCTATTGTTTGTCCAACACAACCTCTTACACTGGGCGTCCTGCTGGACTACAAAAAGGGACAGATCTCTTTCTACGACGCTGGTGCCAGATCTCATTTGTACTCTTTTGTAGGTCAAACATTTACAGACAAAATCTATCCATTTGTCAATTTTTGTGTTGAGAATACTGCAAATCCGAATCCAATAGTTTTACTTTCTCCTGGATCAGTTGACTGGATAAAATAAGAAACATCACAAGTTCTGTTTGGTCCTGTATGTCGAATTTATGCATCTCAGTTATGAACATCTGCAGAATAGCTCTCATTGATATTTCTGTAAATACTGCTGTTGAGTGTCTCAGACAATAAAATACAATAATACATTTTGTTTATTCTCCTTTTTAAAAAAAAAGAAGTCTTGTCTATGTCATCCAATGTGTGTTAACCAACAGTAAAAAAACAACAACAAAGGTTTCATTATTCCTAAATGTATTTCAAGTTCAGTGAATCGTGAAACGGCGGAGCTTCAGTCATGATGAACTTCATACAAAAGTAGTATACTGTGTGATGCAACCTTGGAGAATCTATAGAAAACTGCGTAAAAAAACGCTTATATGGAATGAACACTTAGGATCTTGAAATGTAATTAAGCTTCAGCAGCAAGTCTCATGACAGTTACACCAGCATTTCTCTCAAGATAGCTACCTCACAACAAATATGCCTTCTCAACCACGTCACCTCTATTTCTGCTGCTGTTCTCTGTGGAAACGCACACATCGCTCAGTCCCGTCCTGCTGTCCCGGCTACACTCCTGTAAAAGTGTGCAACAAACTCTGGGTCCTTCTCCTCCAGCATGTGCAGGAAGTGATTCCTCTCCTCTTCTCCCCAAGACTCAAACCACTGGGTCCACAGGCGCAGCTGGCATTCAAAGATGTTTGGTAGTCTGTCTTTAACCTGGTCAGGATGCAACAAGAGAAGTGATATAACTGAAATGATATAACTCTCTGGACAACACCCTTGCATGATGTGACAGTGCTAAAGAGTACCTGAAGAGTGCTGAGTGAATCCAGGAGGGTGCACACTTTCCCCGGCACAGCTTTCCCCAGCAGATCCTGCAGGAACCGCTCCCTCTGAGCGCCGGTCCAGCCCTGAAACCAGCTCAGGACGCACCGCTGCTCCTGGAAGGTGACATAGGAGATGGGCTCCGGCTCTCGAACTTGAACCGAAGCGCAGGAGAGGTTCTCGAGGCTGGGAGGGCTGGCTACACCCTGGGGGGCTGATGGGAAGTCATCCGAGCTGGGTGAGGAGAAACCGGTCCAGCCGTGCGTTGCCATGGTGGCTGATCCCTGCATGGGACTGAGGCTGGAGTTGTGAGAGCTGCACAGGATGTCTGTGGCTGGAAGTTGCTGATTTGAGCCTTGGTTGACATGACTGAACCACGACATCTTGTAAAACTTTGTTGCAGAGTGATTAAAGTTAGCTCCCCCCCTGCTCTAAGTTAATTAGCAATGCCAGCTGCCGAGGCAGACGTTTACATGTAGCTTAGATAGCAGCTTAGTTAGACTTTAAAGCCAGCATTACCTAAAAAAAATAACTGCTCCTAACATACATGGTTGTGAGTATCCATATTTGTAATGGCGTAAATCACCTTATTATTGTCATATTTGAAGCGCAGCGACGCCGAGCTGTAGTCTTGTTAATCTCCGGTTAACAAATATACACAGGAAGTGGACGCGGTTAATTAGCCGTGTTGTGTCGGAAGTCACGCTTGCGCAGATTTTGCGCAAGTTTTGTCGCTGAAAAAATAAAATATCAGAAAAGCAGTTTGTACTCTATATATCTACCAACTGTATTTAGCGGGACTTACATTTAATTTTGTGGATTGTGGACTTCAAATGTGGGGGAACATTTTATTTATTTGATACTTGACTAGGGGGGAAGTCGTCGTCGGTGACGCTTGGTGGAGGAAGGCGTTGCTCGTCGCTCTCGCTGGGAACTGACTAGAGGAACGGAAAATGGCGGACCTCGAAGACGTTACGCTGGACGGGAGACCGCTCCAGTCCCTTCGAGTAGCGGACTTAAAAGCCGCTCTGGAGGAGAGGGGACTGTCGAAAAGCGGACAGAAGAATACTCTCATTAAAAGGCTCAAGGGGGTAAGCGCTAACGTGAAACGCGGGACCACAGTAGCCCGCGAGCTAACGTTAACGATGAGACGGGCTGATGCTCTCTCGAGGGCCGACAACTGAGTATCGTTACTGCCGAGCGTAGTAGAGTTGTCGAGGTTAACGTCAAGCCATCACCCGAAAAATGCGCCCATTTCCTCTGTGCTGTGTTTAAGCGCAGTTTGGACTGCACAGAAATGTTCCAGCCGCAGTAAGAGCAGGAGTTCAGTCAACTTGGTGGCTAATCTCAAAGTGTATGTTGGGTTGATGTTGTCCTGTTAGCTCGCTAGCTTCCCGGGCTAACGCAGTGAGTTGAGCAGTGGCCTTAGCGGCTGGCTGTGTATGTTGTCCTTAATTATGTGTACACTGTCGGAGTGCATGAGTTTAGCCGGGAGATGAACACTGTTACCGTTAGCATTACTAACTAGCTCGATAAGTTCAAGTAGCCAGCTCCTGATGCTAATTTGACGTTAATGCGTTTCATTTGAATAGACAGGTTTCGCCAAATTTAGGGACAGTTTACCTCCAAAAACGTACCTCGGGCCCGGGAGCTGCCATCGGTCTTACATTAGCCAGTTTGTTTACATTGCGATAGCTATTCAAACTGACCTACTGGGTCAGAAAAGGCATTCTTTGCTTTATTTAACTGGGTAGTCTGGTTATCGTTTGTCCGCCGAATTGCACCATGAAAGCTGCAACTGGTGTTTACCTTCTCTTTTCCATATAAGCGTTCATTATGCCACTTTAGCTTCATGCCGCGCTTTTCTGACGTGTTAATTCTGAACTTTATGTCACATTGCATACTTACTTTAAGACCCGTAGCAGTATGTGTTGCTATATTAGTTAGTACCAGCGAAGGTGTTCGTAGATACCCTCTTAAATGTGGATGCTTTGATTTGTGCGCAACTTTGGCCTCATAGCATAGACATTATAACAGACACCATATTCTTATTGAACGTTATACTTGAGTGTTTTTTGTTTAAATGCTTGTGTACCCACGCAAGTTGAAGGGGCATAAGCCGTAGAGTTGGAGCAATGCTGCATGAGTGACATTGAGTGTCAAGGCTTTGACTGATGGAAATGTTAAAAAAAAAAAAAGCATTTTACTGGTAATGTTTGAGATTGAACGGAATTAGCTCCAGTAGCTGTTGTTTGTAAACCTGCTCACATTATTCCCAGTCTAGTTTGCTGTCACCACAACTTGTGATACCATGCTGATTGGGATTTGATTGTATATTGTGACTATTATCCATCTTACTTATTTGCTTCTGACCAGGGAACTGTGTTGCATGTCATCCTCTCTTTTTCTGCAGTAATTTTTGTTTGTTCAACACTAAAGATGTGTCAAAATCAAAATTTTCCAGATCTAACTTTACTAAGAACAGGAGGCAGTGATGCTTTATAATGTTTGCCACATTTATATGCATGGTATGCCAAGAAACACAGAAACTTGTAATACTTTAAGTAGGATTGATGTATTTGCTGACATGATAAAGCATAGCAGCAGTCAGGTTGTCTCTGGAAGAATATTGTCCTCTTATTTGCACTGCATGAATAAAGTCTCTCGTCTCAATAACAGGCTCTCATGCTGGAGAATTTGCAGAGGACCTCCACTGCTCATATTGGACTGCAGCCAAACTCTCAGGTAAGAGTCTCAAAGATACTTTTTATTCATTTCAAAGGTTGAGGCAAGTAATAGCTCCTTGGGTAGAAATGAAAAATGTGCCTTAGCACAGTTCTTGGAAATTTCAGCACAAAGTAAGTGCGAGTGGCCTTGAAGGCTTGTCATATTTTTAATTTTCTCTTTGTTTTTAGATTGGTGAGGAAATGAGCCAGAACAGCTTTATCAAGCAATATCTGGCTAAGCAACAGGAGCTCCTGAGGCAGCGTCTGGAGAGAGAGGCTCGCGAAGCATATGAAACAAACGGTAAGAGTCGGTCGAATCCACTGCTGCTGTTGTGTAAGTTGCTGTTCAAGTTGTAGTAATTATGAACAGCATTTATGTGATTTTATTTGTCTTTGGTGAGCAGATCAAGATGACCACGCAGAAGTTAACAACAGTACATCATGTCCTCCTCCAGCCCAGGTTAGGCAGCACTTTGTCTTTATTACCTATTGTGATCGGTCGTGCTTTTTAAACGTTTTGTCTGCATTGTCTTAGCTTGAAAAGATGATGCATTTGACTCAATGGTAAGATTTGTGCCAGATTATTTACACGGGAGACAGTTGCATAATCCTTCGAAATATATCTCAGATTGATTTCTCTTCTTTTCAGGATGTCACACCAGCATTGCCTGAGCAGCACAAGCCGCCCGGTCCCTCTGGTGATGGATTGTTTAGTGCTGTGAATGAGGGACAAGCTAACAGGAACCAGGAGGCTGACATGTCCAATCCACCTCCTTCTGGCTCTGTGGCCATGCGCGTTCCTGGCGTTGAGCACCGGCCAGAGAGAGGCTCTGCTTCCAGCGAAGTCGCTGGTGATAGCGATGATGAAGATAGCGAGGATGGCGAGGAGGATGGTGACGATGATGACTGGGACAGCGGTGCTCGAAGGAGAAACCTCAGAGAGCCAGCTAGAGTTCCCACAGCAAGAGAAAGGTCTGGAGCATCTTGTCAACCCCAGCAGCAACACATCCCTTCCCTTTTGTCTCCTCAACTCCGCCAGCCAACTCCACCTCCCTCCCCACCTCCAGAGTTATCATTCCCCTTACCTGACACCCCTAAACAGAGCCCACCTAGTCCAGATGTTGCCCCAGCTAGGGGCTCACCCAGTACTTCCAGCTCTGGTTCCTCCAGCAGCGACAGCCGCAGTAGCAGCCCCGAGCCACAGAGGAGTGGGCACGCCGAGCGAAAGCCTGGCCCGCTGACCCTTCTGGCACGTAAAATGGAGTCGGAAGGTGCTTTCTCCGGAGCAAGTTGGCATGGTGCAGATGGGGAAGGCGATAGGCAGGACAGCAGTTCACCTTTAGTTGCAACGTTTCCTGGCAGAGGGCCTCCAGAGGGTTTGGTATCTGCCATCACTCACACAGCCAAAACTGCAGGCCATGTACCATTTCCCATGATTCCAGGCACCAACCAGGGTGTCGCAGGAGCACATTCGTCCCATATTCAAGCACCCGTGAGTGTACTCAAGGCCACTGCAGCAGAAGAGAGGGACAGAGAGAGAGAGTTAGAGATGGAAAGAGAAAAGGCACTTGAGTTGGAAAGGCAAGAGAAGCTGAGAAAACTTGAGCAAGAGCGAGCAATGGAGGAGGAGCGGCAACGAGCCCTTGCACTGGAGAGAGAGGAAAGAGAGAGAGCTCTGGAGAGAGAGAGATTTGAGCGACAGCAGGCCTTAGAAAGAGAAGAAAGAGAAAAGGCTTTGCAGCGGGAGCGGGAACTTGCTCTAGAACGAGAGAGGCAAGAGAGGGAACAAGCTCTGGCTAAAGAGAGGGAAGAGCGAGAGCAAGCTTTAGCACGAGAGAGGGCCTTGGAGCTGGAAAGGCAGAGGGAGCTGGAAAGGCAGAGAGAGCTGGAAAGGCAGAGGGAGCTGGAAAGGCAGAGAGCCCTTGAGCAAGAACGCTTGCAGAGAGAAAAAGAGGAGAGGGAAAAGAGGGAGAGAGAAGAAAGGGAGAGAGCGTTGGAGCTAGAAAGAGCCAAGGCTTTGGAGCGAGAACGGGAAGAGAGAGAACGGGCTCTGGAGCAAGAGAGGATAGAGAGGGAAAGAGCTCTAGAGGCTGAGAGAAAAGAGAAGGAAAGGATTGAGAGAGAAATGGCTCTGGAGCAGGAACGGTTGGAAAAGGAAAGGTTAGAGAGGGAGAGAGTGTTGGAGCAAGAGAGAATAGAGAGGGAGAAAGCCTTGGAACAGGAAAGAATAGAAAGAGAGAGGGCTTTGGAGCAAGAGAGAATAGAGCGTGAGAGAATTGAAAGAGAGAGAGCCTTAGAACAAGAGAAAATAGAAAGAGAAAAAGCTCTAGAGCAAGAACGACTGGAGAGGGAGAAAGCTCTAGAGAAAGAAAAATTGGAGCGAGAGAAAGCCCTTGAGAAAGAAAGGTTGGAGCAAGAGAGGAGGGAAAAAGAAAGACTAGAAAGAGAGAGAGCATTGGAGAAAGAGAGGATAGAGAGGGAAAAAGCCTTGGAACGAGAAAGGGAGGAAAAAGAGCGGGCAGAGAGAGAAGCAGCTCTGGAACGGGAGAGGATGGAGAAGGAAAGAGCTGAGAAGGAGAGGAAAGAGAGGCTGGAGAGGGAGAAAGCTCTAGAGCAGGAGAAACTTGAAAGGGCAAAAGCCTTGGAGAGGGAAAGAAAGGAGAAGGAGAGAGCTTTAGAGCAAGAGAGGGCAATCGCTCTTGAACGCGATAGGTTAGAGAAGGAGAAGGCCATGCAAAAAGAAAAGGAGCAGGAGAGGGCACTGGAACTGGAGAGAGAGAGAGCAAGGATGGCTGAAAAGGAGAAGGAGAGTCACCTCCCTCCAACCAAACGTGGTCGCGAGGTTGGTCTCACCCCCCTGCCCACTCCTCCTTCCCTCTCCACAGGACCAGCTGCAAAGCCATCGACAGAGGCAGGAGAGCAGG